TATGTATTTTTGAACCATTAATCATCCTGGTTAATCTACTCAAAAATTATGTTACTTACGAAATAATTGAACAAAGCCTATGAAGAAAACTGAAAATTGCCAAATACTACTTCATCCTGATCGTCTGATTATTACAGTCAGAAATAAGCATATACAGTCTAACTAACTACATCTGTGTATTCATAATTTCAATCGGTCCTGGTGAGCAATGAATTAAAAACAATTATAGAATAAGTCACTGAAATGATATTTTTATATAAAAAGCTAAACGACTAAGGTATAAAGTGTTATGATGATATAACTGACATATGAAACATGATATCCAGTTAGCTAGATAGATAGGTTACTAACAGAAATAGACTTTTGAACCTTAGTTCAGTGGTTTTACAGAAATAATTTCATTAGACAAATGACTAAATAAACAATACAAAATAACCAGCCATTATCTTTTAATTATCAGTGAATGGAAATAAAACGTCTAAAAGTTACAGATTGAACATTTGTCTATTGTTCCATAGGAAAACTTGATATGAATACAGTTATAAGATTATGAAATAAATTTCTTAGCATTAGTTAAATGGCTGTAAATTATTTTCTCTTCTACTACAGTGATCATATCAAATTATAGCCTGATAAGGATAAGATGAAACAAAAAAATATGTTGTAAATCAGAAATATTGAAGTTTTTAAAGTCTCCCATAGTATTATTGTCAACAACTACAGAATATTATGGTGTTTATGCTAATTGATCATTTATTTTTGCGTTATTTCGAATTTCAAAAAAAAACAGTATATTCAACTGTGCTCACCAAGTTATGTCTGACCTAAATTGAACAGTTCTTTGAAGTCCTAGTTGATATCTTGATTTGAATACTTCTGATGACCACTAATAGCTAACAAATTATCAACTTTAAGTACAATTGACATCTTCAAAAAAAACTGTAGTATCAGTGAAGATAGATTCTGTAAATTATTTATCATTACAATTATAATGGATTGAGAAGTTATATACAATTAATCAATGGAATGAAGTAGCTAATCATTTATATAAACGAAAATACAATAGACATAATTCTTAAGTATCAGAAGCAGCTATGTGGAGATTTTAGAAAATTCAATAGTCGAAATCATGAGTCAATTAAAGCTAGACAACCATGGAAAACCTGGAATCGCTAGACGGCCGTTTCGTCCTAGTATGGGACTGCTCAGTGGCAGTGCGCATCCACGATGCTGCCCCCCGCGAGATTCGTACCCAGGACCTATCAGTCTAATGTGCGAGCACTTAGCCACTAAGCCACTGAGCCGTCATCCAATATTACATCTCATGGTTTTCCATGGTGGTCTAGCTTTCGTGGATTGGTTGAAGTTAGACATTAATACCACTAGATGCCGACTCAGCGGTCTAGTGCTCGCACGAGAGACTGAATTCCCTGGGTTCGAATCCATCAAGCGAGATCATGGATTCGCACTGCTGAAGAGTCTCACAACAAGACGAAACGGTCGTCCAGTGCTTTCAGGTTTTCCATGATGGTCTAACTTCAATTGACTCATAATTTCAAATGTTGATAATTTGTAAGTATCAATGTCAAAGTTGAACTTTATACTTTCAAATAAATTAAACATTGAATGATTTGTTTACTTTGAAGAAGTGACTTACATTAAGTCACGATATATCAGAAAAATATTAATTTTCTACTCATTAGGATATGACAAAAAGAAATATGTTTTATTTACATTAAGCATATGTTGTTATTGTTTTTTTATATTTTTAACTAGAAATAAATGTATATAGGTCATATGATTTGATTAGACATAAATAGTTTTCCATTGTTTCCTTGATCATATTTTTGTCACGTTAAAACAATTACATTTAGTTGTTATGTAAATTTTATGGAATTTTAAGTTAAAAGTTTATATTTGTCTGTATAAAAAAAAATAGTGTCATTAACTTTTATTATGTAGAACAAATAGAAACAAAAAAAAAAAAGAAATACTCATGTTTATTTTTAGAATAATAGTTTTGATATAAAAGATTATGTAACTTTCTACTGATTACATGGAACGACATAGATAATATTAAAATATTTTGATTAGTTAAATAATTTGAAAGGATTAGTTCACATCGACAGTTGTGTTTGTCATTAATTGGTACCAAATAATGAATTACTACTTCATTCTAAGTATGGTTTCTCAACGAGTATGTATTTACAACCTTGTATAAGATTGAGCTTTCGAGCTTCAGGTGTCGCATTTCACATTTTATTAATAAGACAGTGTCGGAACACAATGATTTAGATATCCAAGATTGATTAATTTACTTTTGTCGTTGAATGTTATGGAAACTATTCATATCATTTAGTTTGTGTTGTGACTTTATGTCCGGCTAGTTATTACGTGATTTACCCACCAATCGAAATACGACTTATACAATCTTAGCACTGTGCCAAACCAATGACGTTCAACCGGTATGAGCAGCCTAAAGTCCTTATTGGTTCTATGTCCGCCTAGCTTGTCCACTTGAGTCCAGAACATCAATACTAGCTTCCACTATGCGAATCGAAACGAATCATTTATTTCAGATACACTGGGTTTATTTATCAACCAAACAGACCACAACGTACCATAAATTAGGAAATAACGTTTGTACACAATAAAGTCAGAAGGTGGCTGTGAACGTGAGAGGCAGTAGTCAATAAACTGGACATAACTTAAGAACAATAAATCGTACAATAATAATATATAGATCAAAATAAGGCTTATAACAAGGGGAATATAGATATACATAATCTAGTTCCTGAATATTTATACCATGAGAATATATAAATAATATAAGTTCATTAATAGGTCCCGTAATGTAATCTACACTAGGATGTAACAGTTTGTCTATAAAATTTATTGATTAAAATGTTCATATAACTGGTAATCTCAGTTCCTATTCGTTTGTAGACTACATAAATGTATGTCTGAAGTCAGTTGATAAATTATAGGGTATTATTACATTTTGTTTAAAAAATATTCTCAATATTTTGATAATATTGAAAACTTATGTTTATACTAGGATTCTATATGTAGTTAAAATATGTGCGGTGCCTGTCATAGACCACTTCAGTTGAAAAATAGGAAAAATTCCTGACTCCATTGATTGTAGATAAAAAGTTCACTTCTAGAATATTTAAGATAAAAATACGTAAGGGAAAAAATTACAGTCTATATTATTTACGTTTATACTTCTTAGAAAATGCTAAAAATAACGTATGACTGTATTTGTTGACATTCTACCGTGAAAATTCAATTCCGTGCATACAATTTAGTGAATGTAAAACTATATATATATAGCTAAGACAGGATTTTCGTAATATATTCTAGTATAACCCTTGTGTTTATAAAAAATAGCCAAGTAAATAGATTTTATTTCTATCATTTATTAAGAAATTCAGCAATGATATGATTTTCTTAAACATATGGTGCTTTATGAGTATAACCACACTCAAACATATATATATATATATATATATATATATATATATATATATATATATATATATATATACGGAAAAGGAAGTAGGTTGTTTTATTTATATTGCTTTACCATAAACTAGATTTATTCATGTGAATTAAAATTCTAATGATTCATTGAACACATCCTGTGGTGTATACTACTGATGTCAACAAATATAAGTAGTATGTATCATTAATCGAAAGTAAGATATCTGGCGGCACAAGATTAAGAAGATTAAAGAAATGGAAATGAAAACAGGGAACAATCCGTGTAGAAATGAAGGAGCAAAAAAAATCTGAAACAATTGATTGACATTTTTTAAATAAAGGATTTACTGTATAGTTCTCAAATTTCATCAAATATATATGGTTGTTCTCATATATGTTCTCATTCACTACAATACTAGTCAGTTTTAATAATTTTTCAATAGTGAATACTAGTATATGATTGAAAGGTTTGCCTTTCATAATTCTAAATTAAAAATATACTTTTATTTTAAAATATTATTTTAAAGAAAATCATTTGTTTGTGAATCCATGGTGAACTAAAAACATTCCAACTTGTAAATCTATTTTCCTTTTAAAAAAAGAAAGAAATAAAACTTTCTAATTTGATATTATGAGAAATAATTATCCATAAAAGAATACAATTTATATGTCTTTATCAAAACTTTCAATATTAATGAAATATAAAAGATTATTTGAATTTCAGTGATTTCAATGATTGCTACAACTATTCAATAGAATATGTAAAAGACTAAGTTTCGATAAGACAATGAGAAGATGAAGTTTATCAGAATTAAGTGATGATATATATTAGCGCAATACATTTCGAACAATCTGATCACACATATACTTGTTAAGACATTTTTATATGAAAATTAAAAGGTCAACTAGACAGATTAAAGGTAAGTCATAACAAAGAGAAAAAAAAATATTAAAGTACACAAAAATAAATGTGATTACCACTCTGGATAATAAATCAGTATTACCAAGGTAGGTTAAGGGTAAGCATAAGTTGTTTTCAAATGCACAAAGGAGGTTTCAGTTTCCGCATAGCCAAGGCTTCAATAAACCCTAGTATACGTCCTTGAAGGCTTTTGTGTAACACTACAAATGCTGATTTGATATCCAGTTTCAATTAAATGTTTCGCAATGGAGGATAATGTCTATCTATCCTATGATCCTTTTTGAACATTGGGATTCATTTGTTTCTGCAGCCATTATTTATATAAGGATGTATTAACAAGTACATTATGTTTGATCAGATTGTTCGAAGTGTATTGCGCAAATATATCGTCACATAATTCTGATAAACTTCGTCTTTTCATTGCATTATTGAAATTTATCAAAAGTGTAAACTACACTTTCAAAATTTATGACGATGATGATTATTATTGTAATACGAGGCTACATTTTGACATATATAAAGTAACTCGAATAATCTATTTATTATTGAACTTTTGATAATTCATTGAATAATTCAATAAACATATGCTTACCTTAGAATGGTTAGGTGATTTATTCGCTGGAGTATTTGATTCTGGTGAATCACTAACACTAGCAGTATCTGTAGATGAAGATGAGTATCTTTTTGATTCAACCATTTTTTTTTTAAGAAAAAAATTTTTTTCTCTATTGTCTTAACTCTTTTATTCTTTTCTTTTTAGCTAAAAAAATGTAAAACAATATAAACTTTATAATAAAATGATTAATTGAAATTATTCTGAAAATAAAAATGTATGTAAATTCACTTTGTGTTGTTTTATTTATAACTTTCTATTGTTACTTAGGACTGTAATTGATCAGCCTCTTGTACATCCTGTGAGGATTGTCTCGATATAGCCTTAAGTCACAAGCTTTTTAAGCAAAGATGGATAGTGGTTAGTAGTGGAATTCAGGACCCGCATTTCATCTTATTTGGGACTAGTCAGCTGTCTTCATATTTTGTTTTCTTCATTTACTTAAGACTTGTAAAATGTTGACAATAGTAATTGTAATAGTAATAATAGATAGATTGTTTTATTTGCTATAGACTTACCAATAATAATCACTCGTTTTTTAATTAAATTTGATAGAATTTATAAATAAAACAAGGAAAGTAGAACATCTAAGAAATGTAATTGTTATATGTAATAGAAACATGATGAAATCTTTTGACGTCAATGATATTTACCTGGGATTAATGTATAGTGATAGCCATAATCCTAATTGTAACTTAATGTAGTTGAACATTAGTTAATAATAGAGTTCAGGATGTCAATTTTGAATTATTTAATCTATATTCAGTTATACTTACCTAGATTCTACTGTCGATATTTACATATAGTTTACCTCAACTGCTTGTTGCGTAAGGGAGTTCAAACACTTACAAGATTATGCAAATGTCAGTGATTTTATTTTAAGGGATTTATGTCTTAATATTTCTGATATTAAGAACTCCATGTCTATCTAACGTTTATTGAAAATTATGACTGGTCAGTAATATCAGGGTAATCTACTGAAGATGTACGTATGTCTGCAGAGACTGATCAGTCATTTTCTTTAATATCAACAAAATGAAGATACAAACATAAATAAGTTTTATTTCGTCCGTCATTTTTGGCTTAAGATATGTCCGCTACGCCTCTCATTCGATCTAGCCAAGGAAAAAAGATTAGGAACAAAATTGTAAAATCTGGATACATATATAGTCAGTTAGACTTGCTGTGATTTGTTAACAGTAAAGTGAGATGTAAAACATCTACCTAATATTTAATGTTTGCCTAGATCTATACTGGAATTTAGTATTCAAAATCGAGCACAGACTGAAGCTTTTTGTTCACGATATTTATAGAGACTTGAACACCTCTATATAAACTATTTGTTATGATTCAAAAGGTCTCTTCTTGAAGTAAAAATAATTTATGAACAAGCATATATTTACTCTTGAGCAGCTACACTTCTCAGGCAACATGTTGTGTTTAAAACACATCTCGCTTCACCACCCATTTCACAAACATGAATTGTATGGAAACGGTCAACGAACAGTAAAACTTCGTGCCTAGACATGCCAATTAGTGGGATCATAAATATACTCTGAGTTTTGTTGCTGTAAATTAATAAAAAATGTCCAGCAAAACTAGTTTTCTCATGTCGTAGACCAAATAAAGAAATACATTCATTTCTAACAAGAACATGTGTCGAAAAACTACTGCCTTTAAAATTACTTTACTGTAATTCCATTTTAAAAATTACGAACGGCTTTGAAGTATTATATGACTAACTGTAAATCCTGCTGAAATTTATCCAGTTATTTTCACTCGATAGCAAAATATGTTGTTGAACTGTTATTATTATCCACCAAGACTAATTCTGATGTGATAATTATAATTGTATAACCGTCTTATAGATAAAATCTAAATAGGAATGGTTAATTATCAGTGAAGTGATTCGGCATTATTTCTAAAATCATCACTTATTAAGCTTTCACTTCTGCATGTTCAACATAAAATATGTCGATAATATCTCTCATTTATATAAAAATAAATTCTAGCCATCTAAATACAATGTTCAAAAACTTTCAATATTTTGTTGACAATCTGCAGAATTTTATATACACTTTTATGTGATTATCAACCTGGTGACTAGAAAAAATATAAGCCTAACTAAGATTTTTATTTTCGTATGCAAAATCAGTTCAGTGTTTTGGGTAGTTACCTGTAATATAATCCTTTTGTTGACATTTAATTCTCTACATGACAAACAAAATTCAGTCCTACTAAAGTTTATCCGAATAACAAACATTTACAATTTAGTAGTTAGTTTATAAATAAATAAATATTATATAACACTGTCGAAGTGCCAGATATGTATGGATATTGCTCTTATCAAATTTCTAATGTATATTTTTTTCAATCATTCTATATGAAAACACATTTTTGTGGTTAAATTTAGTTCTAAACATTTAAATTTTGAAAGCAAATCACATGAATTTTTATTTGTTGAAATGGGCTTCCCAAGGCCTTTTATGCCTGTAATTCTGTCTTTAATAGTAGTCAGTGTCAAATAAGTTACAACTCTATTATAGGTTTAAGAAGGTAAAAGGTTGTAGCAAAATGAACAATTTGTGCACTGAAGTTTTTAGTTAAAAACAGTTATAAGAGAAGATAAAAATTTCGTTCCACTCTAGGATAAAACAGAGTTCCAGAATTCACTGGCTACTAATGAATACTTCAAGTAAACCGATTCACTCAAAAAAACCAGCATAACTTTTTTTCTGCCTCATTAAATCATACCAATGTTTCATGCCTGTCAATATCAACTATTAGTTTGCGCTAGGTCTTTTGAATTCATCGTGTTAATCTTATCAGGTCATGGTGCTGCAGTATGGTAAATTCATCCAACGTACAGGTGCCTCACGCTGTACTTTGGCAATAACTGATTGATTCCACAGATAATAGATTAAGTAAGATGGCTGATGTATACTCTTATTAATGTAATACCTCTGAGGCAAAAGATCCGTAACCTTATTAAGTTTAATAAATGGTCATTATTCGTTTTTATGGAAGATGCAAGAATGAACTCTCATCGTTAAAGCATACTCTGAGTCTCACAAACTTTAGTCACAAAATATTTAGGGGTTTACCTGATTGCATCATAAAATACTAGATACTTTGCACTAGGAATAAATTTGCTTATAATCAGTAACCTTCATTTACTTCTCATTTTTATACTCAGTAAAAACTAACTGAGTCTCTAAATCTGAATTTGTTGTTTAACACATGACTGATTGTTGTTCACGAACCAAGATGTAAATGTGGTCAGTATAATCACTGAAAACGTAGGTCATTTTTCTAAACAAGGCGTACTGCATTTTATGAAGTATATGTATTTGCGAAAATATTCAATACGCATGTAAATTTGTAAATTATTCATCAATTTACGAATGATGTTCTCAGTGGAATATTTAGACTAAAACATGACAGACTGAGTTCCCTAAACATGTGAATGATAGTGTACAAGTATTTCTGTCTATTAATTAACGGTTTTATCTTTCAGGAAGTGATATTTTGTTATCGTTTTTCTCTTTATTATGTCAGATATCCTTCAAATTAAATTTTTTTCGGTCTCAAAACTGATGGATATTTTTTGCTTCGCTTACAGTAGTTTTTGGATAACAGTCATGAGAGTCTGAATGTATGACATGAGCTTACAGAATCTCTACATTATTAAACAGTAAGTGAGCAGAATTGATCAACATGTCTTCCAAGGCTGTAAAGATTCAAACACTTAGCCTATCTTGTTTAGTTGCAGCAAAAGCATCATACTCGTCGTATTTGAACGGTAATTTTATGGTTTCATTATAGATACAATAATCTCTCTAAGGAAAAGTCTAATTAATCATAGATATAAATGTAGAGGAAAAATAAAACACCATTTTGAGTAAGAAGTATAGAATATTTTCTGAAAAGAAGCTCTGGTCAAAGCGCAGTGAAGATTAGACATTTTGGTCAACATTTCAATTTTTCATGTTTTTCAATTTTTTTATTTTCGTTACGAAATAATAGGAGTAGAAAAAATCGGCACAAAAACACAGTTTAAAAATATGTTAATAACAGGTACCTTACAAAGTAAATGCCTGAATAAGTTTTTACGAGGTGAACAATCATTTAAAGATGCAACAATAATTTAAAAGAACAAAAAGGACAATGATGTAAGTAAATTTTATCATGAACCCCTTTCTGTAGGTTTTATTATTTCTACAAGACACATTTAGTGACTAAAAAAATTTGGCGGGTTCAGAATATTTTTACTGGTTTGCTTTGTCTAGAGTATGAATTACTTAAAATAAGATTTCAACGGTACTGTAAAACCGGAATATCTTTTGAAAACAACGAAGTTACTCATAAAACATCAAAATAATACCATCCTCCTGCGAGAATGATGACATTAACCGACGACATTACTGAATCAGAAACTATTCAGCACTGCTATACTGTTAATCTACAATGATTGCTAGTATACACTACGATCTTTAAAGTTTCAAACGCTTTCAAACTTTTTTCCAAAGACTTTAACGTACATATAACCATGATTTGTGACATGTTTTTTACATATCCTTGATATATTTAAAAAGATTTTGCATGAACCTTTGCAACTTAAAAAACAGACCGTAAGCACATGCTCTAGTAATCAGTATTCATGTTTCACAGGTTATTATTTAAACATAAATAGGTTTATTTTAACTCAAACGCAAAATAAACTTGATGGGACAACGCGTGATAAATGCGAAAGACTTGTGCATTTTGTCTCCATGATTGATGAACGTTTTTTTTTGAATAGCAAACATTTTAAAGAATTACCGAAAATGTACACTCGAATGGTGGGTTACAGATTTGATATACTTCAATAACCATATATGTTTCAGAAAGTCATCCAGGAGAACGTCACAATTTTGAAAAATAACCATCTTAAAATACAGGAAATTGAGTTTTTCACACAAGATTTTATTTTGTTTAGCAAGCTTTACTTGTTTTTGGAGGCATTTTTGTAATAAGAATAAATGCAAAGAAACAATAAGAAGGACAATCACTACCCTATATAAACATGGTGCAATTGAACTTAT